GGTGTGGGGGGAGGCGCAAGATGCCTCTGTACTTAGCAAAATGAGGCATTTTAGTTACAAAATATATTTAAAAACCTGTAGGTGCTAGATCACAAATAAGCTAAGACACTCAGTCTAGTTGTATAATTTACGCTAGTTAAGTATTACCTTTTTCTTTTTTAAGGAGGGTGCATTGGGCTGCAAGATTGCATTAAGGGGCAAACCTCTGAAGAAAAGAGTATCACTTAGCTTGCGCCTTTTCCGATAGGCCGTCGTCTGACAATGAATCCGGAAACTCTGAAGTGCAAAGTACCGGAGGTCAAACATCTTGGGGAGTGGTCCCTGGGGATGGTCCCGGGACGGAATCGCTGTTCGTTTGCACCTGCAGTGTGGCCCTAACCAAGTGCGATGGCTTTGACACGTCCAGAGCCATCGGATCCCATTACCTGCCACAGAGAACCACCTAAGTACTTCCTTTAGTGGAACATTTCAGAAGGAGGTTTAACGAGTAGAGGAATGAAGGACATCAATAAAGAGACTCTGTCGCTGCAGTGTGACACCAAACCCCAAGGCGGGCGGGCGTCAGGCATCTGGAGGAGGAAGCGTTCAGGTACAGGCGTCAAACCTGGTCCTCAGCAAGATGTTTCTGTGAATGAACGGGTCCTTCTGCAAGCCCAGGGAGGGCACGTTGCACACCTCGCTCCTAAGTCAGAACTGCAACGATCCACACACCTCGACAGGGAAACGCAAGATTACAGCGTCTCATCAGACCAGCGGTAGGGACAGGAAGCTAGTGCGGCTCCCCAACAGGTTCCCGGGAACTCGGGGAACCGCCGCTGGGGAACTCCAGTGTTCAGCGCCAGGCAGTATTTCCCCAGATTTGGAGCCACCGAAGACAGGTGAAAAGGCTCGCGCGATCACCGTAAGGGGTAAAGCGGGCTGTGGGCGCGTGCAATGTCCCCAGGAAGGGACCGAGGACCCTGGAGAGCCAGATAGGTGTAAAGCAAACACTAGAATGACCGCACACACCACAAAGGGGAAAAAACAGAATGCACCTAGAAGCGCCCTCTGCAAAACGTAGAGCTGTCTACACTGCACGGAGGAATCGGTCTGTGCAGCGGCGGACGCGAGGACAGATCGTCCCGGTTCCCCGCTTCCGCGACAGAAGCGGGTCATTGCGGGGCCAAGGACATTGCGCAGCCCCGCGAAGTTACCGTGAGAATCGGGAAAGCCAGGCTGTGGACGCTGCTCGGGGCCGTAAGGACGCGGCTGGCCGCGAAGTGGGTGGATTCAGGGTGTCCGGGAAGGGGCCAAACCTCTGGGAGCCCGGGAGAGACTGGGAGGCGGCTCCAGAGGGCCACCCCAGGCTGGGAGTGAGGACGCCCCTGGCAAGCGCGAGCACCCCTCCAGCGCCCGGCGCATCCCCGGCTCCCGACTCCTCTGCCTTGGCTCGCGAGCCGCGTCGGGAGCGGTCACTGACCTGCGGGCCGGACGCGCCCACCTCCCCAGCCGCGCTCCCGCGCTCGGGGTGCGGCTCTGGCCGCGCTGACCTCTTTGCAGGCGCCGCTGGTCCGGCGATGGGCGCCGGCGAAGCCGTCTGCGGTGATCTGGAGCGCGCTGCCGAGGCGCACCGGAGCAGCTGCGCAGCGCGAGTGAGCCCGGGCCCGCGTGTCGCCAGGACCGCGCGTCTTCCCTCCGCCCCTCCGGCTCGCACAACCAATGGAGGCGAGCCAGGCCCACTTCTCGTCGCCCCGCAGCCGCTGCTCCGGCGGGCGCCTGGCACTGGGACAGCCCCCGGCTCCGGCGAGGGAGGAGCTCGCGCCAGCGCTGGAAAATCCTGGGGGATGAGGAGGCGTTTGCCCAGGGAGCCCCATCTGGGAGGCAGGTGTGGTGCCATTAACTTTTATGAGCACCGGGGGAAGGTGGGGTGTGTGTGCAGTTTCATTGGGACCCGTCTCCGCAGGCGAAAGCATCTCCTTTCTGCTGAGTTTCTTCCTCGCTTACATTTTTTAGGAGTCTCGCGCAGCCCCCACAAACAGCGAGCCGCGGTGCATCTGTGCGAGCCCAGCTCTGAGCCGCGGCGGGGGCATCGCCTCAGCCTGTGACGAGCTTCGCCTCAGGCATCTCTCCATCAGCGCTTCTCTTCTTTTCCCTCGGAACCTTCCGCCAGATCTTCATAGAAGTTGAACAGGATCGCAGCTGTTATCACTGCCAGCGAGACATACAATCACAAAACTCTCTTCTGAGTAATTGGTTTACACAGTCACAGATCTTCGAAGAAGTCTGGGAAGGGAGCCTTTCAGTGATATGACTAATTTCGGTTACCAATCAGCCCTGTAACCTTCACCCGACGGCTCTGTATTCCTCTTTTTCAACTGGAAAATGAGAAATCTCTTCCATTCTGACATTCAACAACCCAGCTGGCTGTCTGACCTATTTGGTTGCGAAGAGCCGAGCCCCGTCTTTGTCTGGCTTCCTTTTCCCCAGCCCCTCTTTGCTCTTCCCTGCTACATTCACCCTGTAACTGCCCACCTGTGGCCATGAAAGCAAATCACGAAAATTAACATAGAAAGATGCTGCCCAAGTCTCAGTGACCATTAAACTCACACAGATAGTGCCACCTGCCAGAGCCCAGCTCATGACATCGTGTTACTTGTGCCCATGTTCAGTAGTTCTCCAGGTGGAGACAGAAGCCGGCATCTGGCTTAACTCGGAGACCCTCTTGGTAAATGAGCAAAGGCTCTATCTCTCCCCCTTTCTTCGCCAGGGGAGTAGTGAGTGTGTCTTAATCTTTTCTATGTGAATCTTTCTGTATCTGATCTAAAATGCAGGTGGAATGAGACGAATTGTCAAGAAGGTAGATTCAGAGACCTGCTTCCCTCCCAACACACTTGCATTTGCTTCCCGTACTTCACCCCTTCACATGCCGCTTTCATGAGTTTTGTTACACCATCTACTGCCTGCTCTATTACATACTTATTAATGTTTTACCTTAGATTTTTTACTTAGCCTCACCGTAAGCAGTAATATCCATGAAATCCTTGGCTTGTTATGTACCAATTGTATTTCCATATGAAATAAGCGAGTAATAAGTAATCTGTAAGGTTTTTCTTGACATTTCCTGAACTTATTTCCTAGTGCTGCTGTAACGACTTACCACAAACTGTTACAAAAATGATACAAGAGGCAAAGCTTCTCTTGTCTTTATTATTATTATTATTTAAATTTCAAATACAAATGATCTAGAACGTGTTAATTGTCAAATTTACTTCCATAGGAAATCTTCAAAAGTAGGTCAGGTACCACTCCAGTTCTTGGGATTTTGCAGGCACAGTTTGGGGACATATTTCTAGCTTCTAGTGAATATGATCCTTCTCTGTTTTACTTAGAGAGAGATGGATTGTATAACAAGTGTGGGATTTGGAATCAGATGGAGAGTCATTATTCTCATGCTGTCACTTATTATCTGTGTGGCTGAAGCCAATCACTTAATCTCTCTGAGCCTCGTTTTTCTTAGTATAAAATGGAAGTAATATTAGGTTGTTGTCAGGGTTAAACGCACACACACACACACACACACAGTTCCCAGCAGTTATGTTGTATGTATAAGTGCTTAAAAATATTACCTCCATCTTTCCTTCTTTGCTGCCACCAAAGCAACATTCAGAATTATTTTGCCCATTCTCTAATTTCCTTCTAGATTATCACAAAACATGTTTGTTTGTTTTTTCCAGTACTCCCTGGACTAATTCTCTTCTGCTTTTCCTTAATTCCTTCAATTCTGCCCCGTTTTGATGTTCCTTTCCCAAACTCTTCTTCTCTCTCTCATGCTGCAATTTCTCTTCTTTCAAGCAGTTCTCACGTTCTACCTGCCACAATTTCAGCAACCTGTGCTCTGTAAAGGAACTGATATAACTCTGAGAAGAGTGTAGGTCATAAAACTTCTTACTTTCTTACTTCTTTTGCTCTTTATGATGCGTCAATAGTCCTTTACATTTGTTTGTTTGTTTATTTTAAATTCACGGTCTTCTCAAAAACATAGAGTAATTTATGTTATCTAATGTTATGGGAAAATTCTTGGACCACAAGTCCTACTAAATTCAGACATTTTTGGAGCATCTGCTATATACCAAGGAGTGCCCCAGGCACTAGGGGGATAAAAATAAAGAAGATAAAGTGTCTGCCCTAAAATACTTAGAGTCCAACCAGGCATACAGACGTATACCTATTTTGCATATAAACATGCCTTATGTGCTTCAAGCAAATTGTGCACATGAAAGAATTCCCTGTACTTTTTTTGCTTAGGAGATTGTCTGGGACTCCAATCAAAATGCCCACTCTGCCCACAGTTCCCTGCCGAGTGAAGGTGTTCCCCCGTGCTACTCCCGATCATCATGTTCTGCTTTTCTGAGCAGAACTCATGGACTCAGGATGGCCTTGTAATCCAAGGTCAGCCACCCTGCATTATGTAATGGACGTCTGCATTCTTTTCTTAACTGCTCATCATTTAGCTGTCTTACTGTATTGGAGGAATTCTCCACTGGTTGAGACATGGTGGGAGGCAGAGCCCGTTTCCCATTGATAACATCCCAAAGGCCACATGACACATGTATACTCTTCCCCACCCTCTTTGTCTATACCCCAACCCCCACTGTAGCTAGGGTGAGAGCATGTGGCTTATCCTTGGTCAAAGAATATACCTCCCTTAGACCTGGAAATGGAACTTGGTCATACAGAAGATTTGAGAGGAGAAGAGCTCTTTGTAGCAGAGATTGAAACAACATCCAATTTCCAAGGCCAGCAGAGGCAAGAGGACAAACAATGATACCTGGTTGTTAGTGCCCAGGTGTAAGTTACAGGTTATAGTTCATACTGTTTAGTGGTGACGCTAGAGTCCGCTCTCAGCTAAGTTGGAGGTATGATTTGGCTGTGATTCTGGCTGCTCAGCCTCCCTTTGTTGCTGTTTATTTTCTGAGCATTTCTCTGATCCACTATTCTTTCAATAAATTCCTTTTTCGTTTAAACCAGCCAAATTGATTCTTAGCGACTAAGAATATTTTGTTTGAGGCCTGGTATAAAAGCTCTACCTCAAGAAGAAGAATGCTAATTAACTGATCCAGGTAACTTCTCTTATGATATTCAAACTGGAAATATTTGAGTGGGTCAATTGGAATCCAGAACAGAAGCTAAAAACACACATGCGGGGACTATGAGATAGCAGGGGCTATGTGTAGGTTGCAGTAGCGAGTGAGCAGAAGTTATGAATAAGCAGAAGTTATGAGTTAGCAGAAATCAAAATACATGCAGAGGAGAGGTAGAAGAGGTTGGCTGACAGCAGCAAAGAAGCAGAAGCCAAGAAGAACTGAGTCCTCATGGTGGACTTTCCAGTGTATTCCAAACTAACCCATTCCCTAGATATGCCTTGAATTCCAAACTATTTTCTAGTTTCTAAACTACATGTTTATTTCTATGAAGCTGATTAACCCTGGCTATTCCTAGGTTTCTTAGAAATTCCAGTTGCTCCCATTTTGATGTATATCCTCATAATAACTTCACTATTATTTGAGATAACCAGAATAAGACTCTGTTCTTTAGACCAAAAGATCCCAAAGATTACTGTGATGATATGGCCAGGACTCAGGAAACAATTGTCAGATGGTGTATTGTAGCAGTCACTGACCTGCCTCTCCAAAAATGTCCTTTCTTTTCCTATCTTACTTCAAATTCTCAGCAGGAGAACCTTCCTCTTGGCTGGAAAATTGATGATTTATAAGAAGCTCCTATTTAAAATGTGCTCTATTTGGGGGTGGCGGGGGGAGAAGAATCAAAGGTATTTTTCTCTGCATTAGCCATTAGCACTTGAACAGTTTGTTCTTAACTTTAAACTCTTAGAGGTCTGGTACTTAGGATGAGCTAGTTACAGGGCAGAAAAATTGGGCATGGAGGAGAGGAAAGCGGAGAGTAGATAGTAGGAAATGGCAGTGAGAGTCTCTGGGACATTCTTAGGGATAGTCTTATGGAATGTTCCCATGAAAGAAGGTTCTGGTGGCAGCCAATGTAAAGAGTGCCAGGGGGCAGTGATGCTAAATGGCAGCCATACAAGAAAGTGGAGACCAACGCCAAACATTCTCACTTCACAATCTGCCTTCTGCCAGCTCCAGAGTATGACCTGGCATAATTTCCATTACCCTTTAGCTCTTATAGGAGATGGGGCTGGGCTACAATGGCAGAGGAAGCTGGCCATCGCATCTGCCCACTTTGAGATTCTGCTCAAAAATCACACCTGCATTAATTGTGCTTTGAATCCGTGGACTTCATTTTATCTCCTGCACGATCTAGTGCCCTCTCATGGATTGTGAAAAATGAAGTATCTATATGTCTTACTAATCAGTGAATTGTACACAACCTAGGGGGAGAAAAGTTATTTTGTTAATGAGATGACAAGAGAAGGAA